TATGGAGATAATTGAGTGTCTATACCTACGCGATTTCAGGATTTTTATTGTTTAACCAACGAAAATTCACTTTAACAGATTTCGATTTATTGGATTGATCATTGATGTAGATTTCGAAAATCAATTTTGTGCTTCCCATTAATTACGTGCTGTTACGACTGTTAGAGAAACAATACAAACTCGTGCAGACAGCACCAATCGCAGCTCTGAGTTGAATTCTTTGTTGTCTTTTATTTAACCTGATGGAGCACGAATCGCGAAAGGTATATCGGATGACTATGCTAATTTATTATACAGTATCATCGAAAACAAAACACGTTAATTTTTATTAACTGGGCCTTGCATGTATCTGTAATTAGATTTTTAAGTGATCTTCCGGAAGGCTTCGTGCTAGGGAATCGATAATTGATTTGAAATTGGGAATCAGGTAAGATTTGCCAAAAGGTGTGACCTCACGATTTTCGCGATAACGATAATTGGAAATTTTAAATAATCTCAATCAGTAATATCCAGATCTCCTGATTTCCCGTGATTTTACATGACATCATAATCTTAAGGCCCAGTCCAAGACGGGTCCTGGATCGGGACCGTGAGAAGACCGGTCCCTTGACTATTCATAATACCTAATCAAATTTCTTTGACTGAAACGTATATAGATCATATGGGCTAAGTGCTAGAAAAAGGGAACAAATTTATTTATTTATTTATTTTTTTTCGAGCCTAAGTCGAAATTAACCGGAAACATTTTTTCACTTAAGGAACAAGTGCCATTTCATTAATAAAATTTTATATATAGTCATATTTGTTTACATTTTGGGACCGAGAACGGACCGAACTGAGTCCGTAAATACTGATAAGGACCAGGACACGGATTGGTCCGATGTACTGTATCCCGATATAATCTGCAGAGGTCTCACTTTTTGCAAACCGCAAATTCACAATTTTGCAAGCTGCAATAAATAATCGTTTCTGCAATCGTTCTATCTGGTAATTTTTTTTACTTATGAGCTGCGATCTGCACATAATTATGTTATGCTTATAGATGTAGCCCAAACTATTTGGGACGTCCCAAACCATGTGATGATTAGTAACACATAGTTTCGGCTGCTTTTTTTTCTTATTGCCAAACTATGTGATACTAATTATCACATGGTTTGGGACGTCCCAAATAGTTTGGGCTACATCTATAGTCATGCTTGAAGTTGGCATCTGCTTGAAGTTGTAACTTCAAGAGCTTGAAGTTAAGCCTGACTGAAATTATCCCTGAAATTAGATCTTTCCTGCATGCATTAGTTAACAAGTTTAGGCAAGTTTGCCTTCAAGCGCTTGAAATTATAACTTCAAGCAGATGCCAACTTCATGCACGACATTCAATCATAAGCAATGTACCCAGATATGGCCTTTCATTGATGGTTCATTCCTTTTCCTTAAATGTGCACGAAATTCAGGGATGATCTTTTAAGTGGTTCCTTATAAAACAACGCTGAATCAATCTACATTGATGAGTTGGCAAAGTGCTGTCGTGATCGTATTATTGATAGTGGAAAAATAGGAATTTTGCGATTTACGATGTACCCAAGGAATGCACCTATAAATGTATATTCGTTAAAATCACAGAAAATCATAAGATTTCCACGTCCTTACTCGAGGTATACGATTTTTTTAGCTGATACGTTTTTATTATTTATTATTACATACAAAAAATCTCTTTATAATTAGGTACATATTAAAAATCTAATTTCGGGAATTGAAATATACGACGGGAGTATCCTAATTTTCTCTTTCTATTCCGATACATTTGATTTTCTCATTGTTTAACAATTCTTATTGTGAATTCACCTAATTTAGTTTTATTGCATCTCTTTATTTATCGATTCTTAGGTCTCTTAATTATTTTTACTTTTTTCATACCTCAATGATATCATCCTATTGGAGCTATGTCAGCGTCAAGCAATACTGTACCTGCGATATCAATGAGACATATCAATATGCAGTGTAATTCGCTAATATGTAGAGCATAAATTTAGATACACTCGTACAATTTCGGTAATTTACTTAAATGACTTTCATTAGAAGTAACAAGAAAAGAGAACTGAGTTTGTTCTAGAAAATTTAATGTGTGCAAACTAAAACTTGTAGAGTTTAAAATTTTTTTGTATCAGACTCAAATTTAAAACTTTTTATGAAGCTAAAACATTGATTTGAGGCTTTAGTAGACAGTGAAAAATCAAATGCGTATTGAAATCTGAAATTTAATTAACATGTATAAAATGAATCTCGGAAATTTCGCAACTAAGTTCGTATGAGGGTACAAATAACAAAAATAGTAATATATTATTAGTCCTCGTTTTATTTATTTATTTGGTTATTTTTTATTTATTTAAAGAGTATCGCTATTTTTAACCATGGTGATTTTACCCGGGTGCTGTATCTCGAAAACCTACAACTAAGCCATTTAAGGGTACTAAGTAAAATGGTCAGGACCACAAAAATCTGACCCAGATCTTTGCTTAAAAATGCACCCTAACCCTAAAAAAATAGGGGCGGTGGTTTTAACTATCGGTTAAATGCATTTTTGCCAATCAACAATTACGTAACGCTTTTGTATATTTAATTATTGTAAAATTGTAAAATTGGATTAAGTTGATAACAGCCCGAGTCGCAGTCACTGCGTTATTTTCTGCTAGTTTGCAATATAAATAATAAAATAGCGATAATAGTCTGAACCCAAAACCACTAAGCAAATTTAAATAATGTAATTTTTTATGTAAAACTCAGATTTCAAGAATAAAGAGGTTTCTTCTTAAAACAATGTATTATATTACTAATTGCGAAACAATTTAGATTCTATAAAAATAACCAAGTTTGAAACATTAATCTATTAAATATACTAAATATACAGTAGTGCTTGAATTGTCACACATTTTTTGTACATATTATTGTTAAAAAAACATGCAAAAGGATCATCGTATTGACCCGGGTCTCGATATTACACAAAAAAAACTAATTAACAGGGTTGGTCTGATTATAAAATAAACAATAGTATTGTGCTGAAAATGGGTTTTCTTCAATATGTCAAACGAAAGGTTTTCAAATTTTGACAGAAACTCCCTAAAGATAAAAAGTCCCCCTTCTTATTTTAGTGATGAGAAAATTTTGGACAGATCAAACGGTCCTTCTGTTGATGGCGTTGCTCTCATTCTAAATGTTGCAAATGAGATATTAATAAATATTTTTAAATTTATAATTTCGCCAAAGAATTTCGCTGCTAGTTGTAAGCGATTCTCTATTATTGCAAGAGACGACCAGGCGAGAGCAGAGTGGATTATTTGTCAATATGGAAGAGCGCATGCTCTTTTTCATGCCATAAGATTGGGACCAACTTTCATCAATCTTCCAGTAGCAAAAGCTATCGTTGCTAAAGGGGCTATTTTATCGAGATACTTTGTTCAAAGGCTTCTAATTAACTTTGGCAAACATGACCAGCAGTTAATCGAATTAAAAATTGTTCATAATATTGTAGGGCAAGTGGACATTAATAGAATAAATCATAATGTTCCATGGTCTAGTAATCTGCAAATACCCGTTTTCACTTATTTAATGACTGAAGCACAGCAGCAATTAGAAACAGACGACCTGTGTGCGAAGGGTAACGATATGGAACTTTTCCACTTTCTTTCTGCAGGTCCACATGTAATAAATCATGCACGAGATATTTTACGTAAAAATATGAGTTCCATTAGAAATTTGATTTTAAACATGAAATTTATTCCGTTCCCACCACGACCGCAGAGAAAATTCAATTCATATCATGTGCAAGTTAATTCTGAAGAATATCCATCTAAGGACGGTTATGAGAACAATCGTCAGCTCAACGTTATCGCACGCGCAATATTGATCTATGAAGACTTGGTCCATTTATGGAAAAGGATCGGGTACTATGAAATATGCGAAGACACTAATGATCTTGTAATACAAGGCGCGCTTTTAATTCTCTTTCCTCCTACGCCCTCTTCAGAATGGAAGAAACCAAGTGTACAAGTTGTTAATAAGAGACTCACAGAATTATTGAATCTTGGATTTCAATTAAATTATAATGTAATAGCAGATGTATTACATTTATTTGAACATAGATTAGATGATATAGGTAACATATTAATGGAATCATTTTTACAAGTCAAGCAAGAAGTTCCCGAAACGTTTTTGTATCACTGTTTAATCGAAACATTAAGACCTGAGCGTACATGCAAGATGAATGTCTGGGACTTCATCTTTTCACTTATGTCGGACAAAGCAGAAGGCTAATTCAATAAAGCCTTTAACCATCATTTGAGTAACGCTGCATCAATTATCATCTTTTCAGATGTACACATAAAACCACTTGCTTCATCTCCCAAATTTTATAATTGGGTACTTCGAAAATTCGGAGCTGATGCATCAATAACCGCTCTGTGCTTTGAGGATCTCTTGGAAACACGTATTAGCCTCGATATTCAACTTCAAACATCACATGGAATGAATCCTTTTTGATTTAGAAGTAACTTTTCCATTACCTATGGAAACCACTGAGGATTCAAATTCAGTGCAAACGAGTGAAGAACCAGACAATATGCAGGTTGAAGATGATCTAAATATGATGATCAAAATGTTTCCCACTATGATGACAACACGTTACAAATTTCATCGATCAAAAGGAAGCCCAAAACTAAAGATATTAAGGAAATCAGAGAATTATGGAAACAAAATTAGAAGACATGCATTATTCGATTTATGATGAAAAAATATAATAATCAATCCTTCTAGAAATTATCTTCGCGTATTTGTTGAAGAAAAAATACCATATGCAAAAGGAAATTAATGACATTTGATCAAAGTCTTTCTAAAAGGAGAAAACATTTAAGGAATAGAAGAATTGTGAAAATAAATAAATGATAACATGCGTTATAATTCAATTTATAATGAATTTATCCAAGAGGTTAAACTCAGTTAAGTTCAGAAATTTAGGTGCTGGCCTGGATATTGATGCCAGCATCTTTCTATGCACTTCAGGAATACCATCGACGATACTTAGTCTTAAACCATCGCGTTTACGTATTCAACATAATTCCAAAACTATATATGTCGCATTCCTGTGTATATTTTTACCTCTAAATGCTTCAACCTAGCCGTCAGCGAGACCATGTAATCTAATATCAAAAATTTTACATTCGTTGATTCAGCATGTTCTTCAACTAATAAATTATCACCATAAAGATTTCCATGAAAAAAGAATTGGCTTAGGACTAGTGATGGCAAATTAGCCTTTTTCCAAATTGAATTCTGGCCAACATTAGCTTGCTGCTTACGCGGGTCAGAATTATGAGATTCCGAAATATTCTATAAGTCTAGCCTCACCACCCTTAAAAATTTTGCTGGCTATTCTTATTAAAAAAAAACTGTTTCGCAATTAGTTTAGGGTTATGATCCCGCCAGTAGATTAGTATTTGGTTTAAAGGGTGATAGTTTATAGTAAAATTTCACGAGGAAAATTTCATAGGCAAAATTTGTTGTTTACGGCCCATTTGAGGTCATTTACCATCCCTGGTACAAAATACTAGAGATGGTAATATACCGAAATTTTTTGGTTATTAATATGATTTTTTCGTCCAATTGTTTCTTTTTTTCTTTACAGATTACATTTAATGTTGCATTCGGCTTTTGTTATTGTTGCTAAAAAAAAAAATTAATATTCAATAGTATAAAATAATTATTATAGTGTTAAGATTAATATCACGTGATATATAACGCACCTAAGCAATCAAAGTAATTTTTGGATAATTTCTCGACAACTATTTGATAAAACTCATTAAAAGAATTCTACTAAATTATATAATTCATTTAAAAAAATTATCATCGAATTCTGTCATGTAGTTGTGCTGAAATGAATCCAAAAGTTTGCCGATACGGTAAATGTTTTGAGTATGGAGACACTAATAGTGGCTCTAATTAGTGTTCCAAATACAAAATCGATATGTCTAAGGGATAGTTGTCAGTGTTCCTAAGTAGTGATGTGTGCCATGCACATGGAATATTTAACAGTAGTTAAATCACCACCCTAATTATTTCGCTAGCCAATCAGATTTCAAGATCATGTGTAACGTAAAAGAAGCGCAAAAAAATCAGCACCAGTTCTTTATTCCGCGGTATTTGCTGAGGATTCCCTGAAATTGACAGGGCTTAGGATCGATTTTCCGATCACGTGATAACTTCGGAAAACTTGGAATTTTTGTTTACGTTAAGGTTTTAGTTTGATAGAAGTTCATTTTAGAGTTACAAAGGCTGTTCTAATAGTAAAATCACGCAAGGAAAATTTTTACTAAGAGCTCAGAAGGTGGTTAATTAGGTTAAATTCTGAGATATTCTCGATTTTTTCAAAAAGAGCGTTTGTTTTGATTTTTTTACGTTACACCTGATCGTGACTTCTCATTGGCTAATTTTAGCTCGGAAAATCATGTGATCGGAAAATCGATCCTACGCCCTGGCGTTGTTGAGGATTCCCTTGAGAGTCCACTGCATTAAGATAACGAGATACGGTCTCGGTGAGTGCAGCATCTTCCACCGAGGTCCAACGACCTTTAAGGACCGATGGATTTAAAGCGCCAACCCATCGTGCAGAACATTGCATGGGAGTTCTATTTGGAACATGAGTTGCGATTAATGACCATTTATGTGGGCCGTATCTTTGGACAGCTTCACGAAGTAATTCATCTTCTTGTTCTGACCACTTTGTATAAACAGAAGGTTTTTGGTTCACTGGTAATGTAGCCTGATTGGTGATTGTTGGAGTGTTTGGGGACTGTTGTGACGTATTGCATGATGCAGTGATCTGATAGTTTACAAATTAAGGTAAATGTTTTCGCTTAAAATAGTGCAAGAAATACGTCATTTTTAACGAATTTGTAATTTATTTATTTAAATAAAATTCGGGTTCTTCCAAAAAAATCAAAATTTTATTGTTAGAATGAAATTACCTTAACCTTTTCCATAGCCTGCCGCGTGAAATCTTCACCAAACATGTAACCAGAATTGGGAACTGATAAATGTGAAAGATATTGTGCATGAACAGCTGCAATATTCTTGTGGTATTCTGTTGCTTGGCTTTGAGGCAAAGCCTATACGAATTGAGACAAAAAAAATTTTTTCCAAAATTTTTTTTTTTTTTTTATTTTTTTTGTTTGAAAAAAAAAAAGAGAGAAAATTGTTAAGCTAGCATTCACATATAATATGAGAAACCGTAAGAAGATGATGATTTTAGTTTCTATTTATATTTTGTTTTTCTTTCATTGTTACATCAAACGTTGCACGTGATCTTGTTCCTGATTGGCAAAATAGAAACTTGGGGAAGGGGATAAAAACAGCATTGTAACACAAACCTCTAAAACATGCGGGTCAATCTGAAAGTTGAAAAGTAAATACGAATGTTAATAAAAAATTTAATAAAAATGAATGAAAATTCCTTTATGACTTACCAATGATAAATTATTAATAACTGTCGTGTGTTGCACATTATTCAAATTATTTTGCGGGATGAATGTTTGAGACTGATATTAGGATAAGAATATTGTATAAACATTAATTTTTCTGAAACATGATCATTTATTTATTTATTTATTTTATGGATCAAACTATTATTGTTGTGATGATTCATAATTTTTTAATCTATCACTAATAAAGATAAACTTATTATTGTTTGTTACACTTACTTGAACGTCTGAAGTTGTTGGCTAAATTTTGTTTTTGAAAAAAAAAAAAAAAACACGTAGATTAGTTGAAATGAATATTGGTTGAAATCTGAAGAATACTCCGAACTAATATTATTTATAAGAATTATACGTTGTTATTATTTGAATTGAGGGCAATACGGACATACGAAAATTATACTAAATTTTGATCGTACGTACGGTCAATATGGGATCTTTGCTAGGAAAATGATCCTCCGTGGCTATGTTGATCTTGTGAATAAAAATTAAATTTGCCAACCATTTAATTATCCAATTTGAATGAACTTTTTATTATTATTATTATTTTGTGGAGCTAAATAAGCTCTACAAAATAAAAATAAAAAAAGATCAATCGAATTGGATGACCGGCAAATTTAATTTCCACAAAATCAACATAGCCACGGAGGATCGCAAAGATCCCATATAGACTTGTAAAAGTCAGTAGTAAAAGTAGTAAAAGTAATGCAAAATTTTATTAATTCTTATAATAAAACACAGTAACTATTGAAATTTTCTTTTTAATTAAAGTCTTAACAAGATTTTTTAAAAATTTTTATTTACATTAAAATGAAGTTCATTATTCGTAGTTTCTAAAAAATGGGTTTTTTTTTTCAGATTTTTTAATTTTTTTTTTTTATGACAAAGTTTTCCAAGAGTAAATTGCAAACAAAAAAATTTTTATAATACTTTTGAAAATTTTTTTCTTGCAATTAACTCTTAAAATAACGTTATGATAAAACTTTTTAAAAAATTCGAAAAAGATTTCTAGAAACTACAAATGATAAGCTTTATTTTGATATAGAATAAAAATTAAAAAAAAACCTCGTTAAAATTCTAATCTAGAGAGAAAATTTTAATAGTTACGATGTTTTATTAAAAAATTAAAGCAAGTTGCATTACTTTTATGTTTTTAATATAGTTCAAAGTATCCTATTACTGTATTAACCAAAATCATCGAAAGAATAAAAAAAATCATGTAAATTACTAAATTACTTGGAATAAGGGAATGGTGACTTCTTGCGGTTCGGACTGACTCTATATAAAAACTGAATTAAAATCGAAATAAAAAAAAAATAGCATATAATAAAAGTTAAAATTTTAAAATTTTATTTAAACTCACTTCAATTGATGATCTATTGAGAGCCGTTATGTTTTTATTGTTATCGAAAAAATAAGGGATATGGATCGTATTATTCGACATGTTTATGTTACAGTATTAGAGAGAGAATTGTATGGTCAGTATAGAAAGAAAAAGTAACCGCAAAGTTTTCAACTGGCAATTTGAGTTTTATTTATATAAGATAAAAATAAATAAATATACACGTGGAGCAAAATGAATGAATCATCTAAGCATCTTTTTATATTAGATAAAAAAAAAAAAAATCAAAAATATCGATTTTTTTGACTTTTAATCATAACGTAATGCAATAATGCATAATTATGTCATCGTTAGTGGGAATGTCCATAAATTGCAAATTTCTTAAGACCACTATGAAGCTTTTCTTTTGGCCGGGTCCCTCAAAAATAATGGTTACCAAATTATTATTGTTTTTTTTATTGCATTATTTTTAATTCATTTACTTGAACGCCAAATTTATATTAGTCGAAAAAAATGTAACCGACCTAACCTATTTTATTATACGATCCAGGTGTTCTTGTTAAACTATAAAGTGAACTTTCTTTTTTTCTTTTTACAAACAAATACCAGATTTTCAAAACAATGACGTATTACAATAATAAATTAATTACTTGAAAGAAAATCCATAAAGAAGATTATGAAAGAAAAAACACCCATTCTGTGCAGGAATGAAAATTTTTTATAAATACAAGGTAAGTACGAACGTAAGTACATACCATTCGCTAGTGAACCAACCATGGTTATGAAGAAAAATCCACATGAACGCAAACTTATTGGTTCGTTCAAAATTCCAGATGGTGAAAAGGAAGTATCTCTAATGCAGCCAATTGACCGATTGCTTGCTTTGTTTTTTTACTTACGTTTTTCCTACATGAAGGTGATCATAAACGGAATTATTTATGAGCTCACAAAAACGATAATCACAAAGCGATTTCTTGTTTGAAGGTAAGGTATGACAAGATACCAAATTTATTCATTTTTGATGCGATAAATAATTTAAAAACTAATATATCGATATATATCGATATATATATCGATATATACGAATTTATAATTGGCCAATAACTTTTTATATAATTTTTATTAAGGAAATTAAGTAATGCACGGTAAATTCGTATCAAAGCGTGAAATTATCGATACATCTTTTGCATAATTCAGCAAATTTGATGTCACGCAAAATAAAAAAACGTCACATAAGCAATTTTTTTCCGAAATGCTAGCTTACAAAACATACCCTAAATGAGAACCCGGTTGCATTATCACGCATATATTAATTAAATTGAAATAATAATGACATACCGATATCGCCAGGATTAACGCACGTGAATAATCATATGCTAGAATAATCATATGCTATGATACTAAACCAATAGTTGGTTTAGTTGGTTTAGTTGGTTTAGTTGGTTTAGTTGGTTTAGTTGGTTTAATTGTGAAATTGTGAACTTACGAATTAATAGCTTTAAGGTGATTAAGGTGATAGAATGACGTATTTTGAACAACTTTGAACAATTTTTTGAACAAATTTTGAACATTTCAAGTACATACATTCGTACCTTAGTATTTCAAGAATGCAAAACAATTCAAAACAATCAAGCCAGATAACTTCAAGTACTTTAAAGAAAGTCAGGGACCTACAAACAAACCGGCAACTAATTAATTAATCCATTACGAGTGATTTTTTATGAAGATTAAAAATAGAGTTTATACCTTTGCAATAATAGACAATAGAAAATGATTTTTAATCTATTTATGTAAGTACATATGTATACACATTGTGTACATGAACTCATCAAGAGCTTACATTTCGAATTCTGTTGTTTGATTTATTTCGATTATGTAATGTTAATATATTATATATTTTTATAGTTTATTCTATTGGTTTATAATAATAAAGTTTATGCGAGATTATAGTTAACAAATAGTTCGAAATAACTTTTTTTGAAATTATGAATTCGCGTTCTATGAAAAGATTTTTTTTGATAGATTATTTGATAGATTAAACAAAAAAAATTACATGAATATATTTAGATATGTTTGTCTTATTTACACTATGAAAAAATATCCCAATCGAGTAATACCTTTTAAATAATACCTTTTAGAGAAGTTCTTGTGCTTAAAAAACTTCAAACCTTCTCCAAATGAAGAATGAATGAACGTCATTCGTGTTCGATCCTGTCTAATTCTGGATCAATGTTGTTACATTCATGGCTATTGAGTCCCAAACCTAACATATTAGTATTAATGAATCGTTGTTTAGAATTCTCAAAACGTTTACCTTACTCTCAAAAAGTTTACTCTCAATTTTTATAATTTATATAATTTATATAATTTATATAATTTATATAATTTATATAATTTGTATAATTTGTATAATTTATATAATTTATATAACTTGCATAATTTGTATAATTTGTATAATTTATATAATTTGCATAATTTGTATAATTTGATAATTTGTGTGGATTGCTCTAAGACAATAACTGACCTTTTTTATGTTGAATCTTTCGCTATATAGTTGCTATCTAGTTGCTATCTAGTTGCTATCTAGTTGCTATCTAGTTGCTATCTAGTTGCTATCTAGTTGCTATATAGTTGCTATATAGTTGCTATATAGTTTTAGTTTTAATTTTAGTCTGCTATAATTTGTAATTTGTATTATAGGCCTACATATGACAGAACAGAATGATGTGCATTAAATTAGTATGAATATCTGTCTGTACCTTTGTTTATCTTTACATTTAGGTTTGAATATCAAATTTGATCTTGTACTCGCGTACTACGTAAAATTGCGTATCTTTCTTTTCTTTAATTTTTTTTTTGTCGAATACCTGTGTTGCACGGTTCAATTATTATAAGCTCAAGTGAAACAATCAGTTGCACTTAAAAATCCTTTTGCTTCCCTTAAATTTATCTGAATTTTTTTTATGAGTACAAAAATTTCAAATTTTGGTTATCTATATACCTTGTTTTCTAAATTTATAATTAATAATCATCATTCAAACCTATTTTATATTTGAAATATTTATTAGATTCCATTTTAAGATGCTTTTTTTGTCTTCTTCTTCTTCTGCTTTCTTTGGTAAATATTTTGTTTAATCTGTTTCATTTTCGTGAAAAATAAAACTTGGTAATGTCGTAATGTTTTGTTCGTACGAAATGCACAATCGGCGCAATGGGTGAATGAATATGTTGTGTAATGTCTGTTTTAAGTTTTCACCTTAGTTTTAGCCGTTTAAAAAATCTGCATAGAGATACCGTAACGATAGACAATTATTAAATTTTACTGTAGAATAAATTATGTATGCTTATTGTTGTACATCGTTATCATCGTTATCATCGTTATCGTCGTTATTCTCGTTATGTATCGCTATGCATCGTTACGCATCGTTACGCACCATTACGCATTCAAATATCTGTTCACACAATCTTTGGCTAAAATTATCAAATTTCAAAAATTCGATAAAGTTTATGAATGTTGAAATTTATGAATTCAATAAAAATCAGAGTTTAGAATAATGAATTTCATGTGCTAATTTATTCTTGAAATTTTTTTTTTTTTTTTTCAGGGGGAATCACGTGCCATTCCATTTTCCACAAAATGGTCTTTCAATTTACACACAATTTACACTTATCAATCACAACTTACCTTACAAATTACATTTGATTAAAAAAGATTGTACAATGCTTGTTTTACAGATATACTGTACGCGACAGTAGCCGAACTTTCAGTCACTATAGTACCCAGGATTTGTTTAAATTGATTAGTACCCGGAGATACCTTGCATAGAACGGCGTAAAGATTTGGGTACAATTTATATGAAAAGTATATAATAAATTCATATAGGTGTGAATAATATTCGTGTCTTAATCTAAACATAATGATTTAATCGTTAAATATAATATTTGGCGTTAATATTGTTTTAGAAAAAAATTTTTTTGCTTAAGTTTATTTGAAATTAAGGAAAAATTATCATCTTTTTTTAAATATATCTACTTAAATCGCGAATGAAAATAAATAGTTTTTTAAGATTTGAGATGTAAAGTTTTGTCTTGCACTCACAAGAAAGACGAAAATGTCTTGATAAATATTTCTTAATGAACGCTAGTTATATATATATATATGTGTATATATTATATATATATATATATTGTGTGTGTGTGTTTTTTTTTCAGATACATACGTACGTATGTACGTACGTATAGTAGTACGTGGTGGCATTTCACTAATTTTTTTTAGCAGTTAACAGGATCAGAGCTGTCTACATTAAGTTAAGTTATGTAATTTTATAATTCAAATTCCATAATATTCTGAAATTCTTAACATTCTTTTTAGTACTTAGACCAAACCCCATTTGACGCGTTCACTACGTCATGTTTATCTTTCTTCACATTGGATTTAATCATATACATACATATTACTATTTTTGATTGGATGCACCGCTAATAACGGTTACGTACGTACGTACGTACGTATTGTCGGCATCCTGCAAGTAATCTGCAGTGCTTGGTCCATATTCGACTGTCTGATTGGCTGAATACTGGCAAAATGTAATAGCTCCGATTTTTCATTTGATTAGATGTTGAGTATATCAGATATATATTTTTGTTTGATACCGAGTACGTACGTACGTACGTGCGTACGTATGTATGTATGTACGTACTTGCGTACTTTTAGTCAGCGCGATGCGGTAATTAATACGGAATTGCGCGTATATATCATATAATTACGTAATAGAATTTTAACGCGTAATCCCGACATCTGGATAAATGAGGAAGTGAAACATTGCCAAGGCTGGTAAATTTTCGGAAACTTCTGATCAAAGTGATACAATATCACTTATTTAAAAGGATAATCATTTGTGTTATCGATATCCTGGATACCTGGTGCGGTCCCTCGCATTCTCGCATTCCCGTTCCTTTCTTAAAATGGTAATTCTAATTAGATGGGCCATCTAGAGAAGTAATCTATTTGCTATGTAAATAAATAAATTAAACTGTATTTTTTTTTTCATAAACCCAACGAAAATGTCGATATAGAAAATGCCTATCTGTGCCCAATACGG